ATCATATAATTCGTCAACCACATGTTGAGAGGTAACTTGCAACCGAATATATATACCACAGCCTCAAGTCCCCTGGACTCACCTAAATACACCTAACGTGTTTTTAGGATTTTCGGCCCATCCTAATGATCGCCTCGTTAGAGGGCTTCCATAGATTCGCAATGGTCTAATTTGTATACATTTACCCTGGCCTTATTCCTTCATTATATTATTCAATAGTTATAGACACTCCCCCCCCTGTTTGCGTTGTTACCAGCGCAAACAAATTTAGAATTTTAGAACGGACTCCTATCCCACAGCAAATAACAGCAAAATCTGCACACATAAGTCTTTTAAACGGTACATTTCTCCAGCGCACATACCCATAAGCAAGCGAACCAACCAGCGCACAAAATTGTGAGAAATCTCACCTTATGAGCCGGCGTCTTGGGCGGGAGTCACTTCGCCGCACATGAATGGAACACTGGAGAAACGCATCATGTCCCAAACGTTCCTCGCCGCCATTTCTGTTGTTTATAAAGAATAATGCTAATCTTTGCTGTGAGACCAAGGAGTCCGCTTACACTGTACTTTGATTATAAAGGTTTATTTATATCACAAGATTTCAGCATAAGTTTACAGACGTCTGCAGGCATCTGGAGAACAATGACCCGAAAATAATATGTTGTTCTCACCTCCTTTGTCTCAACCAAGTATTTATAATCTTTACCATGATATGGGTGGTTTTCCCTAGAGACCAATCCCATGAGACTTCCTCTGTTTTATGGGGTGCCCCTATAAAACTGCTTCCCTAAGCTGAATCAACATCCTCCAAGATACCATTTGAAAACGTTAGCAAAGTCATAAATTCCTCAGATACCACAATAATAAACAAAGAAAAAAATAGGTCTCCTCCGGGATACCGTCTTCTGGGCTCCGGGGTCATGCTGTATCCTGTGGGGTACAAAACCGAGCTCCCTCCGTTATCTCTGGTACTGAGCACGACTATACGGGAGTAACCGCTCTTCCCCAGTCCACACCCCCGTGTGCTGCCCTTCTGGCAGCTTTATAGGACTCGTCCAGCTTGTGAGCAATCAGCCCTTTGATTACTCACCAACCACAATCAGCACCAACTAGTCCTGGCCGGAGAGCCCGTCAAGACCTGGCACGTCCAGCAGAGGGAGCCATCGCCGCGTGATTGTAGACTATCTGTCACCAGACCTTGACGAGTCTCCCCCTGGTGTCTAACCTGCTGTACGGCACAATATATATATATTTGTTTTTGTTGTTGCCTATTTTGCATGTTATTTTGGCATTAATACGTGGCATATATTAGTTTGCAAACAATGTGAAAAAATAAATAATTGAGTTAATAAAGCCGCATACAAACATGGTCTCTTTTTTGCTTTGTTGAGTAAAGCAGCTCCAAAATGCAGATGTTTCAGCCTAGCTCAGTGTTTTCTGTGGTGGTGGGGCAGTCAGCGGAAAATATGGAACGTAGGGCTTGGTTATAATCTCTAGTTGCGCCGTGATTGGCTCAGTGTTCTGTCACTCATGGGGACACTACCTCACTGCAAAATGTATGGGTAGAGCTCGAAAATTCAAGCCCCTTGGCTGCTGCCATAGAGTTACATTAGAAGTGCCCATCCAAGAAGGCTCAAGGTTATTGGCCACAGATAAAATGATGTCGAATCACGTTATATCTACTGAAGCTTTGATTGGACTGATCATATCAACATAATGCTTTCAAAATCTTAGCTAGCAAGCTAGACAAGCATGAATCACGTCGACAATCTACTGGCAAATCCTTTTCAATCCTTGTCAGATGAAGAGAAATTATAGATAAAATGTATCGGTGCTCATCGGCCATTAGACATAAACATTACACAACAAGTTGGAAATCGCAAATTCAGCAATGAGTGGTTTGGAAGGAATCAGTGGCTAACTGCAAGCGTTGCAAAGCAATCACTAGCCTGCTATTCAGTGGAGTGGGTGTCTGGTCCAAGTCTGGGTTTAAGGGTCTATTTTCCAAGCTTTAAAGGATAAACATTCAACACCACAGGCCATAAAAGGTTGAATACATTGGCCATGCTGTCAATCCAGCATGACTTCTGCCACGTTCGAAACTCGGAACTGGGAAATCTCATACTTCAGTGAGTTCAAGACAACTGGGAACTCAGAACGAGCTCAGACTGGGAAAATACGTTCATCCAACTCGGAATTCCAAGTCGGGACCTCGGGCCTCTTTCTAGAGCTCCGATCTGAAGATCACTGATGTCATGATTCAACCTTTTTTTTCCTGAGTTCCCAGTTGTCTTCAAAGCACCATAAATCCAGAGAATGCCAGACTTTGTCAAAGTTTGATGACAAAATTTGCCCACGAAGGACCGCCGCTCCACCTTCCTGTTCAAGTGAGCATAGAACAACAAGGTGAGTCCAAAAATGTCTTGAATGCTGCTGCATAAATGATGTAATATGCCAGGGAGATATGTATACTGTAGCTAAGAAAGTAATACTATGTGTATGTTGTGTAGTAAGCTGTTAGTAGCCCATGTGCCTCACCCTAATAATTTGGTCCCTTTCCCCCTCATAATTTAGCCTACTGTTCTGACTTGGTGGTGCACATGTAGCCTATAGCCTGTTTTAGAGAAATGTAATCATCGAATATTGTAAGAGCTTTCATTGTCTGCTTATATGCCCCCTTTATTTATCCTACGGTTCTGACTTGGTGTACAGGGAGAATACTGTAAGAATGGCTCATGTTCTGAATTCTGTCGCTGTACATTTAAAAAGTGCTGAACAAATAGTTATATTGACTATGTCCGTCCTAGCTCGCTCATTAATGTCTTAATCGAAATGACGGATTGCCTCTTATCCGCTCGTCGTCCCCTTATGCCATAGTTTGTACATGGGGCGGTGCACAATTGGCCCAGCGTCATCCAGGGTAGGGGAGGGAATGGCCGGCAGGGATGTAGCTCAGTTGTTCATTGGTCATTGTCTTAATTACGAATTGCCTCTTATCCGCTCATCGTTCCCTTATGCCATATTTGTACATCTCAGTTGTCAGTAGAAACCACATTTGTTTAAGCAAGTCAGCCATATCAGCTATGTTTTTTTTAAAGGCAGTAAATGAGGCTGAATGAACTGTTTTGCTGCCAGACAAAGCTCCGCTGATAGCCAGGTGTAGCAGTGGTAAGAATTCACTACATTGTGCTGAAAAGAAAGCTCTGCTGTTCGGACCACTTTATGTAGTTTGTGGGCACCGTTTGTCACCGTTATAGTGCAATTAATGTATTGTTTTGTTGTGTTGTGTAGTGGCTTTGCAGGCATGCATAAAAAAAAAAAGTTTTGAGTTTGCCCCACCAAGATTTACATGCTAAAATCGCCACTGGGTCTAAGTTTCTCAGGTGACAGACAGTTCACAGAAGGAAATGTCGCGAGAACATAAAATCTTAGTGGGCGGTGTGGTAACGTGCTTGTGTTCTAGCCCGTCGTTTGAACAGTCACTCTGCGCGTAGGATAACAACAATATTGCTGAATATTACAATCATTATTCAGATACTATATCTTCTGAGATGTACAGCGATACTGAAGTAACTAGCAATATCATATTCTGCTATCATCTGAGATACACAGCGATTAGTAATCTGTGCAGACCGACTGCAAAAAAGACAACCTGGAACTCAATCATAATGCGCGTCTGTCTGGGGTGCGTTCCGTTCGACAGAACGTTGTGCAATGTTTTATTAAACGGAAACGGGACTGTACTAAACGACCATTTGAAGAACGATGTGATTATGGTGGCCCATAAGAGGGCAAGTTTGTGTATGGAGATTGTGTATGGTGTGTGCTGCACGAGTTATGAGATTTAAAATGGTCACACCCATATTGTGGTCCTCTGTAGCTCAGCTGGTAGAGCACGGCGCTTGTAACGCAAAGGTAGTGGGTTCGATCCCCGGGACCACCCATACACAAAAAAAATTATGCACGCATGACTGTAAGTCGCTTTGGATAAAAGCGTCTGCTAAATGGCATATTATTATTATATTAAGACAGTGGAGGCTGCTGAGGGGAGGACGGCTCATAATAATGGCTGGAATGGAGTTAATGGACTGGTATGATACCATTCACTCCATTCCAGCCACAATACTCCGTTCCAGCCATTATTATGAGCCGTCCTCCCTTTAGCAGCCTCCACTGGTTGAAGAACAACGCACACAGTTTTGGGGAAACGTGTCGTTCATTACAAACCGTCACACAATGCAACAAACGTTGAATCGAACTGAACACGCCCCTGTTTTAAACAGTCTATGGCTGCAGTCCAAACACGTTATTTTTACTCTCTCAGCCGTCGCGCTAGCCACTTTCCCTCGGGAAATCCCAGTCGAAACCGGATGCAGTTTGATTGCCCTCTTAATTGGAGGTCCAATTCACAAACGTTGCCCCTCAGCCCTCGATTTAGCTCGAGGGATCAAGGGTTGAGATGACCCACAATTCAATGCAAACTATAGTTACGTGTCAAACTCCAGTGGCCGCGAAGTGTCAAATATAATCAACATTACGGCATTTTCGGCATGTCAGACAAAACACTAGCTTGCTAAAAAAATTAATATATATAGGCGATTTTAGCGTTGGCTAATTCGCTTAGTCTCGTAGGGAGGAGCCTATAAAACGTAGCTAGTTTCATAAACATACTTGTTGGAATTCTGAAATGAATTGGAATAAATGGCCAAACTATAAAACTAGCTAGCCAGCTATGGGTAAATGTAGCTAGCTAGCTACCTGACAGGAGTGCTAGCTAGCTACGTTCGCTTGCTAGGTACAGTAATAGCGTTAGGTTGGTTGTTTTTAAGCTCATCTTCAAGATTTCCACCAAGGAGGTTGCCTCTCCGATCATCACTCTCACTCGCTTGGGCAAGGGACATTTAAGGTACACTCGGATTTGACGACGTAAAACGTCATTCGAGGGCTGAGGGCTGTCTAGTTTGGACTGCAGCCTATATATTATCTCAATAGTCTAGGTCGGTTTCTCTCCTTGTCGTCTCTTTACAATGATTTTGAAACAAAATACAAATTAACCCTGGGCAGATGCCTACCTACAGTTTCTATCAAATCAATGAAATAAAGATAGCTAGGAGCCAGACTTGCCTAACCTTTTTCACCTGCACTGGCCTGAAAGCCAATATTTTGGGACGATTCTATGGGGAGATTGTCTAGCCAAGCCAGCCCTATCAAGTCAGTGCAGACGAAGAAAAGGAGAGGAAGCAATGGACTTTAGACTTTTGGGATGATACACCTCTGGTTAAAGTTTATCTGGAGGCGTGCAGCTGTTAAACTTTTTCACTTCTCTCTGTGAAATCAGCACAGGCCTACTCTAGTAAGTAATGGAGATTCCAGTATTCACTGTTGATGCGTTTACCAACATACCTTTCAAAGGAAATCCTGCAGCAGTTTGTCTGCTTTTACATGTAAGTATACTTTTTTTCTACTTGGGCAAATAAAACATGATTACATGTCATTGCATATGGTCATGAATTGCTGAATAATCAACATGAGTATTTGCTTTAAGTTATCTTACCACAGGTATACTTAAACATTACCAATGTAATCATGCAAAAAAATACTGTTGACTGTTCTCAACCAAAAGGAATTGCAGGATGATATGTACCAGAACATTGCTGCTGAGATGAACCTGTCAGAGACTGCCTTCATCATACCGCTGAATTCAAAAGATGACTTCAGCTCAGGTATCTTTTTCTGGACATTCTGAAATAGAGTTGAAACTTACAAATGTATTCTATTTAAAAAGGCATGCCACTTTTACATTTTTCTGTGCAGAAATGTGCAAATCTGCCATCTGGTGGTAATCTATTTTATTGCAATTAACCAAGAGTGGGTGACTGATGCCAACGAGAGTAGATGGGGATTGAGGAAAGAAAATGTAAATCAACTCACCACAACTTACTAAAATGGCGGACATGGTAACTTGTATGTGTTGTATTGAAGGCGCACGCTTCAGTTTGCGTTGGTTCACCCCCACCACTGAGGTTCCTCTGTGTGGACATGCCACCCTGGCTTCAGCTGCAGTACTGTTTAACAAAAAAAGGAAGAATGACATATTTAAGCAATAAGGCACGAGGGGTGTGGTTGTCAACACGGCAACGCGGAGTGCCTGGATACAGCCCTTAGCCGTGTTATCTTGGCCATATACCACAAACCCCCAAGGTGCCTTATTGTTATTATAAACTGGTTACAAACATAATTAGAACAGTACAAGTAAATGTTTTGTCATACCTGTGGTATACGGTCTCATATACCACTGCTTTCAGCCAATCAGCATTCAGGGCTCGAACCACCCATTTTATAATACAGTATCTCACATGTAAGCAAGTGAATTGCAACAAGTACACCCTTTCTGTATAGACTGCAATTAAATTATCTGTTTCTATCCCACGAACCCCTTCCTACAGAAAATGTCAACTCAACAGTGGTATTTGAGACATTGAGTGGCGAGCTGTATGTGCGACAACAGGGGGAATCTATAGTGATGGATTTCCCCCTGAACAAACCTACTCCTCTGGTAGGTGATGGAATCAATGTGGTACATTCATGTTCAACATGTTATATACACTGAGTATACCAAACATTAGGAACACCTACTTAATATTGAGTTGCACGCCCTTTTTGCCCTCACAACAGCCACAGTTCGTCGGGGTATGGACTTTACAAGGTGTCAAGCGTTCCACAGGGATGCTGGCCCATGTTGACTCCAATGCTTCCCACAGTTGTGTCAAATTGGCTGGATGTCCTTTGGGTGGTGGACCATTCTTGATGCACACGAGAAACTGTTGAGCAAACTGTTCAGCTCTTGACACAAACTGGTGCGCCCGGCACCTACTACCATACCCTGTTCAAAGGCACTTAACTTTTGTCTTGCCCATTCACCCTCTGAATGGCACACATACACAATCCATGTCTCAAGGCTTACAAATCCTTCTTTAACCTGTCTCCTCCCCTTCATCTACACTGATTGAAGTGGATTTAACAAGTGACATCAATAAGGGATCATAGCTTTCACCTGGATTCACCTGGTCAGTCTGTCATGGAAAGAGCAGGTGTTCTTAATGTTTTGTGCACATGCTATTATATGTATTGCATAAAAGCCTTTGCATATCAATGTCACTTTTTTTCTAATTTTTCTAATTGAAGCTTCATGTCAGCAGGGTCTCAATGAATTTAAAGACATAGTTAAAGTAAGTGCATCATCCTTCTCACCACTGTTTCTATAATTTATGGTGAAGAATAAGACTTGTTGTGTCCATGACAGTCTGAATTTGTATGTACAGGCTGCTGTGGGAGACCAGCCAGTTCAAGAAGTGTGCCTCTGTGGCACCACCAAAATGCTAATGGTGCGCCTTGCTGACAGTTGTGACAGGTAACATTAAAAAATAAATAAAAGCACTCATACATTATTCATTATCCCTGGGGTGTTGGGAAACAGAGAGGACGGAAGGGCAACTTAACCTGAAAGGGATTGAAACAGTGACTCTTGGGTTATAGGTCAGTGCTCACGTCCCTGCAGCCAGACCCAGCAGTTCTGCTCCGTGTAGACACTGGCGGGAGGGTTAGGTGTCTGCTTGTCACCGTGATCGGAGACCCTGGCTGTCAGCCTGGCTATGACTTCTACTCCAGAAACTTTTTTCCCTGGTTCGGGGTTCCTGAGGACCCTGTGACTGGTAAGAACAGCGGACATTGGCCAGTCTTATTCTGTAGGCTTGTAGAAAGTAAACATTAAGGTGTATTTTTATTTTATTTATTTTTTAACATAATTGCAGGCTCTGCGCATACTGTCCTTGCAGGCTACTGGTCAGAGAAACTTGGCAAGAAAAAGATGCTGGGTGGGTAATCTAAACAGTATTGCAACATGGAGTTCAAATTCCATTGCATTTACAATACATTTACAGATATTGATGGACAGGTACATCTTGAGTCGAGTAAAATCCAATCAATAATCATGTAAATGGCATAATTCGAAGAACTGACACTAACACACTATATTTTCCCCCTGTGTGACAGCCTATCAGTGCTCTAGCCGTGGTGGGGAGCTGGAGCTTGAGCTAAAGGATGATGGCAGGCTGAATATCGCTGGCCAGGCAGTAACAGTCCTGCAGGGGATTCTCACTGTGTAGAGACTATACTGTTCACTCAGACCTAGGCATGTATACAATAGGAGCGTAGCAATTCAATAAAAAAAACTCTGTCTACAGATTATTTGAGTTTTGAGAGATGATTCCATTGTATCAAGTTGTTAGTCAACATTCAGCATACAATCCTCACTATTTGGACAGTGAAGCTCAAATTTAAATTTAGTCTCTCTATTCTCCAGCATTTTGGATTTGAGATCAAGTTTTGAATATGAGGCGACAGAACTGAATGTCACCTTTTTAATTGGGGCCGCTACGCCTGGCTATCAGCGAAAACAGTTCATTCAGCCTCATTTACTGCCTTTAAAAAAAACATATCTGATAAGGCTGACTTGCTTAAATAAATGTGGTTTCTACTGACAACTGAGATGTACAAATATGGCATAAGGGAACGATGAGCGGATAAGAGGCAATCCGTAATTAAGACAATGAGCGAGCTAGGAAGGACGTAGTCAATATAACTATTTGTTCAGCACTTTTGAAATGTACAGCGACAAAATTCAGAACATGGGCCGTTCTTACAGTATTCTCCCTGTACACCAAGTCAGAACCGTAGGATAAATAAAGGGGGCATATAAGCAGACAATGAAAGCTCTTACAATATTCGATGATTACATTTCTCTAATGCAGGCTATAGGCTACATGTGCACCACCAAGTCAGAACAGTAGGCTAAATTATGAGGGGGAAAGGGACCAAATTATTAGGGTGAGGCACATGGGCTACTAACAGCTTACTACACAACATACACTTAGTATGACTTTCTTAGCTACAGTATGCAAATTACATTATTATGCAGCAGCGTACAATAAATTGTTGGACTCACCTTGTTGTGCTGTTCTCACTTGAACAGGAAGGTGGTGCGGCAGTCCTTGTGGGCAAATGTTGTCATCAAACTTTGACATCAAAGTCTGGCATTCTCTGGATTTATGGTGCTTTCAAGACAACTGGGAACTCGGAAAAAAAACAAGGTCAAATCAGGATGTCAGTGACCTTCAGGTTGGAGCTCTAGAAAGAGGTCAGAGTTCCCGACTTGGAATTCCGAGTTGGATGACCGTTCAAAATGTATTTTCCCAGTCGGGGCTCGTTCCTAGTTTTCTTGAACTCACTGAAGTCTGAGATTTCCCAGTTCCGAGTTTCCAGTTGTTTTGAACGCGGCAGAAGTCATGCTGGATTTACAGCATGGCCAATCTATTCAACCTTTTCTAGTCCATGGTGTTGTATGTGAATGTTTATTGTTTTAAGCTTGGAAAAGAGACCCTTAAACCCAGACTTGGACCACACACCCACTCCACTGAATAGCAGGCTAGTGATTGCTTTGCAACGCTTGCAGTTAGCCACTGATTCCTTCCAAAGCATTAATTGTTGAATTTGCAATTTCTGATTTGTTGTGTAATGTTTATGTCCAATGACCGATGAGCACCTATACGTTTTATCTATAATGTCTCTTCATATGACAAGGGGCTTGAAATTTTGAGCTCTCTCCGTAGATTTTGCGGTGACGTATTGTCCCCATGAGTGACAGAACACTGAGCCAATCACGGCGCAACTAGAGAACATTACCAACCCCTACGCTCCGTATTTTCCGCTGGCTGCCCCACCACCACAGAAAGCACTGAGCTAGGCTGAAACACCTGCATTTTGGAGCTGCCTTACTCAAGAAAGCAAAAAAGAGACCGTGTTTGTATGTGGCTTTATTAACTCAAATATATATATACAGTGGGGAGAACAAGTATTTGATACACTGCCGATTTTGCAGGTTTTCCTACTTACAAAGCATGTAGAGGTCTGTCATTTTTATCATAGGTACACTTCAACTGTGAGAGACGGAATCTAAAACAAAAATCCAGAAAATCACATTGTATGATTTTTAAGTAATTAATTTGCATTTTATTGCATGACATAAATATTTGATCACCTACCAACCAGTAAGAAGTCCGGCTCTCACAGACCTGTTAGTTTTTCTTTAAGAAGCCCTCCTGTTCTCCACTCATTACCTGTATTAACTGCACCTGTTTGAACTCGTTACCTGTATAAAAGACACCTGTCCACACACTCAATCAAACAGACTCCAACCTCTCCACAATGGCCAAGACCAGAGAGCTGTGTAAGGACATCAGGGATAAAATTGTAGACCTGCACAAGGCTGGGATGGGCTACAGGACAATAGGCAAGCAGCTTGGTGAGAAGGCAACAACTGTTGGCGCAATTATTAGAAAATGGAAGAAGTTCAAGATGACAGTCAATCACCCTTGGTCTGGAGCTCCATGCAAGATCTCACCTCGTGGGGCATCAATGATCATGAGGAAGGTGAGGGATCAGCCCAGAACTACACGGCAGGACCTGGTCAATGACCTGAAGAGAGCTGGGACCACAGTCTCAAAGAAAACCATTAGTAACACACTACGCCTTCATGGATTATAATCCTGCAGCGCACGCAAGGTCCCCCTGCTCAAGCCAGCGCATGTCCAGGCCCATCTGAAGTTTGCCAATGACCATCTGGATGATCCAGAGGAGGAATGGGAGAAGGTCATGTGGTCTGATGAGACAAAAATAAAGATTTTTGGTCTAAACTCCACTCGCCGTGTTTGGAGGAAGAAGAAGGATGAGTACAACCCCAAGAACACCATCCCAACCGTGAAGCATGGAGGTGGAAACATCATTCTTTGGGAATGCTTTTCTGCAAAGGGGACAGGACGACTGCACCGTATTGAGGGGAGGATGGATGGGGCCATGTATCGCGAGATCTTGGCCAACAACCTCCTTCCCTCAGTAAGAGCATTGAAGATGGGTTGTGGCTGGGTCTTCCAGCATGACAACGACCTAAAACACACAGCCAGGGCAACTAAGGAGTGGCTCCGTAAGAAGCATCTCAAGGTCCTGGAGTGGCCTAGCCAGTCTCCAGACCTGAACACAATAGAACATCTTTGGAGGGAGCTGAAAGTCCGTATTGCCCAGCGACAGCCCCGAAACCTGAAGGATCTGGAGAAGGTATGTATGGAGGAGTGGGCCAAAATCCCTGCTTCAGTGTGTGCAAACCTGGTCAAGACCTTCAGGAAACATATGATCTCTGTAATTGCAAACAAAGGTTTCTGTACCAAATATTAAGTTCTTCTTTTCTGATGTATCAAATACTTATGTCATGCAATAAAATGCAAATTAATTACTTAAAAATCATACAATGTGATTTTCTGGATTTTTGTTTTAGATTCCGTCTCTCACAGTTGAAGTGTACCTATGATAAAAATGACAGACCTCTACATTCTTTGTAAGTAGGAAAACCTGCAAAATCGGCAGTGTATCAAATACTTGTTCTCCCCACTGTATATATATATATTCTTTTTAATATATATTCAGATTCACAGTGTTAATGGTAGTTGTACTTCAACTTTCGAATGGTCACATTCTGTTGTAATAAAAATATTTTAAAACAATAACAAAACATACTAACCCATAGCTGCCATGGCTTCGTGTTAAAAAACGGATCTCCAAAAATACTGTAACAAACTTTCAACTGTTTCAAGTACTTTTTCAAGTAATCAATATTGAGAAATGGATACATTACTTGAACAGTCTGAAGGCTGATTTACAGATGCTGAGTAGAGGAAAGGCACTGTTCTACCTCAGATGTCCTGTCACAGGTGCATGATGGGTAATACCTCATGGGCTTCTGTAGGGAGCTGGAAGACATGGGCCAATTAAGAAAAAAATCCAGATGTGGGAAAACCTTCAAGGCTGTTGGAAAAGCATTCCAGGTGAAGCTGGTTGAGAGAATGCCAAGAGTGTGCAAAGCTGTCGTCAAGGCAAAGGGTGGCTATTTGAAGAATGTCAAATACAGTGGGGAAAAAAAGTATTTAGTCAGCCACCAATTGTGCAAGTTCTCCCACTTAAAAAGGTGAGAGAGGCTTGTAATTTTCATCATAGGTACACGTCAACTATGACAGACAAATTGAGAAAAGAAAATCCAGAAAATCACATTGTAGGATTTTTAATGAATTGATTTGCAAATTATGGTGGAAAATAAGTATTTGGTCACCTACAAACAAGCAAGATTTCTGTCTCTCACAGACCTGTAACTTCTTCTTTAAGAGGCTCCTCTGTCCTCCACTCGTTACCTGTATTAATGACACCTGTTTGAACTTGTTATCAGTATAAAAGACACCTGTCCACAACCTCAAACAGTCACACTCCAAACTCCACTATGGCCAAGACCAAAGAGCTGTCAAAGGACATCAGAAACAAAATTGTAGACCTGCACCAGGCTGGGAAGACTGAATCTGCAATAGGTAAGCAGCTTGGTTTGAAGAAATCAACTGTGGGAGCAATTATTAGGAAATGGAAGACATACAAGACCACTGATAATCTCCCTCGATCTGGGGCTCCACGCAAGATCTCACCCCGTGGGGTCAAAATGATCACAAGAACGGTGAGCAAAAATCCCAAAACCACACGGAGGGACTTAGTGAATGACCTGCAGAGAGCTGGGACCAAAGTAACAAAGCCTACCATCAGTAACACACTACGCCGCCAGGGACTCATTCTGCAGTGCCAGACGTGTCCCCCTGCTTAAGCCAGTACATGTCCAGGCCCGTCTGAAGTGTGCTAGAATGCATTTGGATGATCCAGAAGAGGATTGGGAGAATGTCATATGGTCAGATGAAACCAAAATAGAACTTTTTGGTAAAAACTCAACTCGTCGTGTTTGGAGGACAAAGAATGCTGAGTTGCATCCAAAGAACACCATACCTACTGTGAAGCATGGGGGTGGAAGCATCATGCTTTGGGGCTGTTTTTCTGCAAAGGGACCAGGACGAGTGATCCGTGTAAAGGAAAGAATGAATGGGCCATGTATCGTGAGATTTTGAGTGAAAACCTCCTTCCATCAGCAAGGGCATTGAAGATGAAACGTGGCTGGGTCTTTCAGCATGACAATGATCCCAAACACACCGCCCGGGCAACGAAGGAGTGGCTTCGTAAGAAGCATTTCAAGGTCCTGGAGTGGCCTAGCCAGTCTCCAGATCTCAACCCCATAGAAAATCTTTGGAGGGAGTTGAAAGTCCGTGT